ATACTTTTGTTTTTGAAGTAGATGAGACATAAATTATAAATAAGATCTTTTCAGGATTACTTGAAAAAATGTTTTTTGTTACACTACAGAAAGTCATATCAGGTTGGTATGTGGCATTGCTTTAATGATATAATAAATAGGTTCTTTGAACATTCAAGCTGAAAATTACTCCAACAGAATATAATCTTAGTTTCGAATAGAGAAATAGAAGCCTAAGCATGCTAAGTGGTTGTCTGAAGTCACTCCCAGAGTTAATGACACCGTTGAATCCTGATTTACCAGCTGCTAGTTTAGAGCTCTTTTTGCCCTATCATGCTGTAAAGAAGGGAATGCCTATAACCAGTGTCTATAACCAGCATGGGTTTTCTGACAGTCTAGCCCTGGAATTTGCCTTTCTAATGTTTTCATTCTTAAAGGTTTTTGTAATAAGTGCAGGACTCTGAAATGCTTGTTGTAAATTTATGGAGCAGTTACCACAGCTTACTGCTTAGTCTCAACTCTCAGTGCTTGGATACTGCCACCCCATTTTGTAGATGTAAAGATTACAGATTATAAAAGCTAAACACCTTAGTAAGAATATACTCATGAATAAATGGAGGAGCAGGCTCTGGTTTCAAAGCTTATTTTAGTGATAGTGACTCTAGCCGGGTCGTGGTAGTGGCACACACCTTTAATCCCAGCACCTAGGCGGCAGAGGATCTGTGTTAGTTTGAGACCAGCCTGGTCCACAGAATAAATTCCAGGACAGCCAGACCTACGTAATGAGACCCTGTCTAAAAAAACCACCACCAACAACAACAAAAAAAAATGAAACAATCTCAAGACCCTTTCAGAACCAGGCCCATGAGTCTAATTTTCTCCATCTTCTGTCTCACTGCTGAGTTTCAAGTATTATAACTGCCCCTTCCTGCATTCAAAAAATTCATGTAGATGGCTTTGAACATGTTTCTTTGCCTTTGTACCTGTGTTCTCTCCTCCCCTCTCCCTCCCCTATCCCTTTCTTTTTTCACTTTGAGTCTGTTCATGATGCCCAAGCTAGCCTTGAACTCTTAGACTCAAGTGATCCTCCTGCTTCCACCTGGGATTTCATGTCTCAGCTTTAGCATTTGTTTCCAGGGTCTTACTGTGGTAGCCCTTGCTAGCTGTGAACTCACTGTGAATCCCAGACTGACCTCAACTTCAATAATCCTCCTGTCTCGCCCTCCGGACTGACAGTACAGGCTTACTACAATGTCTAGCTGCATTTCCATCTTTAGAATGTTTGAGAAGTAAGACAAACCATGGTGTTTTATGACTTTGTTCTGTTGTCTCCTTTAACTATTTCCAGTGTTGCCTATAGAAGAAAGAAACCTCTACATGCAATTTTGGTGAGATGGGTTGGTCTCCTGAGTGCTGGAAATCTTCAGTTCCTTATTTAAGCGATAAGTCAACCTCCTGAGTAAGGCACTTTCCATAACCCTCCGTTAGAAAGCTGGCACTTCCAAAATGGTTTTTACTGTATTCAAGCTTAGTAAAAATTCAAGCCCCATGGTGATGGTATACACTCTTTAATTCCCAGTACTTGAGATGCGGGGCAGCAGATTGCTTTAGTTCGAGGACAGCCAGGGCTATAAAGAGAAACCCTTTTTGTACAAAAAATTCAGTGACTGCATGGAGTGGGATAAGGAAAGTGCAGGGAAGCAGTGTGAACCTAGGTGAAGCTAGGTCTGGAGGCACACGGTATAATCCAGGCAGGAAGAGTGCCACCAAGTTTAAAGATAGCCTGGGCTACTTTATGAGTTCAAGGGTAGTATGAGCTACAAAGTGAGACCATGTCTTTAGTGAGAGAGAGAGAGAGAGAGAGAGAGAGAGAGAGAGAGAGAGATTGAGAAGAGGGCCAGGAAGATCTTGGTCATTAGGTAAAAACAAAGCAAAGAACTTGCCGTATAAGCCTAAAAACCTAAGTTTGATCCCCAGAAACTATGTTGAAAAGCCAGATGTGTGTCTATAATCCCACCATTACTATGGCAAAATGAGAAGCAAAGACAGTAGAATCACCCCCAAAGCTCATGGGCCAAGCTAACTGGAGGAGTACATAGTCCAGCAGATGCAAGAGAGACCCTGCCTCCCCAGTAATGTGTAATGGAAACCAACTCGTCAAACATTGTTCTGCCCCTCATGTGTGTGCTTAATGCCACTGTTGCATCTGCTTGTGCATGTTCTCTCTCTCTCTCTCTCTCTCTCTCTCTCTCTCTCTCTCTCTCTCAAATACACAAAATCAACCAATCTGGGAGAGAGGGGCTGGGGCAAACTGAAAAAAGAAATGAAAACTGCTAAAGTTAGTTCATTAAATTTTTTTAATTTTAAATTCTGGGGCTGCAGAGATGGCTCAGTGGTTAAGAGCGCTGATTACGCTTCCATAGGACCCAAGTTCAATTCCCAGCACCCTCATGGCAGTTCACAACTGTCTGTAACTACTTCCAGGGGATTCAACACCCTCACATAGACATACATGTAGATAAAACACCAATGCATATAAAATAAAAATAAATCATTTTTTGAAAGTTACTTTCTAGGTGGGCAGTGACGGTATACACCTTTAATTCCAGCACTCGGAAGGCAGAGTCAAACAGATGTCTTAGTTGGAGGCCAGCCTGGTCTTTAAAGCAAGTTCCAGGCCAGCCTAGGCTACCAATGAAACCTTATCTCAAAAAACTAAGGGAAAAAAAGGAGTTGTTTTTACTTTATGTGTATGAATGTTTGCCTGCATGCATGTTGTGCATCACATTTATGACTGTTAGATCACCCGAACTGGGAGTTAGTGTTGGTCTGGTGTTTGGGTGACTGTCCAACAGATGGTTGCGAACCACCAACTGCTGGGAATCAAACCTGGGTCCTCTACATGAGCAAGTGCTCTTAACCACTGAACCATCTCACCAACCTCTTCTTTATTTTTTGAGACAGGGGCTCTCACTGAACCCAGGGGCTCACTGGCTAATCCAGCTAGCCTATTCTCTGCCATCCCAGTGGTAGGGATTACAAGCACGTGCAATACACTGGGTTTTTGATGTGTCTGCTTGGGGTTGATCTTGGGTCTTCATTCTTGAGCAGCAAGTGCTTCTCAGACTCAGGCCCATCCCCAGCCCTAGGAGAATCATTTTAACTTGAGACATAGTTGTCGTCCTGCTACACTCCATAGAATTATTCATGTTTCAAATAAATGCAGGTATGTTTCTAGCTGTGCGGGGAGCAGGTACATGGGTGTGCACAGGATGAGTGAGTGTGAAGGACAACCTCAGGTGATGTTCTCAAGAATGTCGTCACTTCCTTTGAGGTGGTCTGTAAGTGTGGGTAAGTTAAGTCCACAAGAGCACAAAATAAAGGGATCTTTGGTGTGTTTCGGCATCTTAGAAAGTCTTTAGCTGTACCATTTGTGCTTTTCAGGGAAAAAGAAATCAGACTCACATAGGAACGCCTTAGCAGATTAGCAGTTCAGCAACTGCAAACTGAACTGTTGCTTGATTTTAGAATTCTAAGAATTCTGACTTCATCAGAATCACTTAAAATAATAATAATAATTTTGGCCAGGCAGTAGTGGCACATACCTTTTTTTTTATTATTAAACGTTTTCATTTATTTTATGTCCGGACCACAGCTTCCCTTTCCCTTTCTCCTCCTGTTGCTTCCTCCCTCCCCTTCCCTCATCCACTCCTCCTCCACCTCTGCCCAGAAAGGTGCAGTCCTTCCATGGTGTCAGCAAAGCATGGCATATCGAGTTGAGGTAGGACTAAACTCTTCCCTTTGTATTAAGGCTGGGCAAGGCAACCCATTCTGGGAATAGGGTCCCAAAAGCCAGCTCAAGTACCAGGGACTGGACTGGTCCCATGCAGGCTCCCTAACTGTTGGTCCAGAGTCTGTGAGCTCCTATGAGCCCAGGGGTTGTTGGCACACACCTTTAATCCCAGCACTTGGGAGGTAGAGGCAGACAGATGTTCGAGGCTAGCTAGCTCTACAGAGTGAGATCAAGATAGCCAAGGCCGCACAGAGAAACCTTGTCTTGAAACAAACAAAATAATAATTTTGAGACAGAGTTTCTCCATGTAGCTCTGGCTGTCCCCTAACTAGTTAAGTAGACCAGAGTGGCCTTGAACCCAGAGATCAGCATGCCTCTACCTCCTGAGTGCTGGGATCCCATTGGGCAAGAATCACCTTTTCCGAATATATTACTGTATGTATTCCAGAGGCTTCACACAGTTGCCATTTAGTGTCGAATTACTTGGGGATTTGATAACATTGCAGTCTCAGCCTTCTTGGGTTGGAGGATTGCCAGAAGTAGAGAAGAGAGAGAGGCATATTGAATAAGTACAGTCCAACTAATTGTATTTGTTCTGGGCTTTGTATTACATTTATAATATCTGTGAAGGAAAGATTTGGGAAATAGGATTAACATTTTTAACACATTCCCACTATTGAAAGTCTATAGAGCTTTTAAGTTACCATTTTGTGTAAATGCCGGTGTGGAGGTCAGAGGACAGCTTTGTGGAGTTGGGTCTCTCTCTCTCCTTCTACCTTTATGTGGGCTCAAGGGATTGAATTGAAGTTGTCAAGTTTGGGTGGTGAACTCTTTACCTGTGGAACCACCTTGCTGGTGCCTTTATTTCTCTTATTTCCCTGCAATTGGTAGTTTTTTTTTTTTTAAGTAGGCTAAACAGACTTCTGATTTGAAATCCAAGTTAGCTGCCATTGTTCTGAGTTGCTGAGGTTTGTGATATGCTTATTGAACTTCTTTTATTCTGTGTTAAAAGATAAGTAAATAAGCTGGGTGGTGGCACATGCCTTTAATCTTAGCAGAGGCAGGTGGATCTCTGTGAGTTCGAGGCCAGCCTGGTCTACAGAGTGAGTGCCAAGACAAGCTCCAAAGCTACAGAGAAACCCTGTCTTGAAAAACCCCAAAAAAGAAAAAAAAAAGATAAGTAAATAAGAGAGCTCAATTTCTAATAAAACTTACTTTTCTTAACCAGCACCTGTGGAGTCGTCTCAAGAACAGTCATCATTGTGTGAAGGTAATTATTTTAATGTCTAACCAAGAAAACATTAAGTTGTCTGTGATGTTTAAAATTAGATACTGTTGGCGGGAGGGGGAGGGAAATGGGAGGTGGGGAGGAGGTGGAAATTTTTAATAAAAAAATTAGATACAGTTTCATGAATATATATTGTATCTTAATTTTTTTTCTAGGTTCAAATTCAGCTGTTAGCATGGACCTTTCAGAAACTGTTGGTAAGCCTTTCTGACCTTATTTAAGACAGTAATGGGAACACTCCAGATTTAAGGTGTACATGGTCTGATGACTGAAATGTCTTAGCTCCAGCCACACTTAATGTTTTGCTATTAAAATTTTAACACAGCCTGGACAAATTAGTGAATGCACATGGAATCAAGAAGAAGAGTGCTATTCCTTTGACTTTTTCTCTTTATTTATTCTGCTGCCTCTGCTGTAAGAGTGCTGGGATTCCAGGCATACGCCATCACTAGTCAAACATTTCATCAAATTCCTGTCCATTCTTTTTTTTATTGATTTTTATTGAGCTCTACATTTTTCTCTGCTCCCCTCCCCCTGCCTCTCCCCTCCTCTTCAATCTTTTCCAAGGTCCCCATGCTCCCAGTTTACTCAGGGATCTTGTCTTTTTCTACTTCCCCCATTGTTTTTGTTTTTAAAGATCTATTTACTATGTATACAGAGTTCTGCCTGCATGTATTATTCCTGCAGGCCAAAAGAGGGCATCAGATCTCATTACAGATGGTTGTGGGCCACCATATGGGTGCTGGGAATTGAACTCAAGACCTCTGGAAGAGCAGCCAGTGCTCTTAACCTCTGAGCCACCTCTCCAACCCCCCATCCTTTTTTAAAATAACTCCATTAGCCTTAAAAGTTTCCTATTTCCAAAGTGACTATTAAAGTTAATGCCGAAAGTTACTATTTACATTGAAAATTTACCTCCTAAATTCTTTCACACTCCTTATTCTGGTTTCTATACTTTCCTTTCCACTGTCAGGGCATCTTGATACTGGAATAAGTGGGGTTGGGCTTTTTTGTTAACTTGTAGTCTGTCCTTAGGAAATGACACCATGCTAGTATAGCTGTGTGTCATAGTATAGGCTCCAGCTCTCTGCTGTCAGGAATGAGGCCAGCTTGAAAATCCACCCATCTCTGTCTATGTCATGGGTGTCAGGAGAGGGGCCTAAGCAACTTATATTTGCCACTTTAAAGACTGTTTAAAATGCAGGCAGGTATTGTTCAAGATATTGAGTTAAAATACTTTTCTTCAGTAGAAAATGGAGAGACAGAAATGTCCCCAGAAGAATCATGGGAGCACAAAGAAGAAATAATTGAAGCAGAGCCAGGGGGTGGTTCCTCCGGAGATGGAAGGCCACCAGAGGAAAATGCCCAAGAAATGATGGAGGAGGAAGAAGAAATACCAAAACCTAAGTCGGTGGTGGCACCACCAGGTGCTCCTAAGAAAGAACATGTAAATGTAGTGTTCATTGGGCATGTTGGTAAGTTTCCTTCATAGAGCTCATAAACACTGACAGGCGTTATTGGAAAGAGACATCAACGTGTGGAACATCTTTTGTTTAGCTACTTGGAGATGTTGAGAGAAACTGGGTCAAAATATTGAAATACCTAAAGTGTTCTGTATACATGCACACACTGAGAGTTGACTGCAGGGTCACATGTAAAGTGCTTTCTTTGTTTGTAGGCTAGGTTTCTCTGTGTAGCCCTGATCTGGAACTTGCTCTTTAGACCAGGATGGCTTCAAACTCAGAGATCCACCTTATTTTTCTGCCTCCTGAGTGCTGGGATTAAAGACATGTACCACCACTGCCCAGCTGTTTTTATGTTTTTTAACTTGCTTCAGCTGACAAGAAAAAAAAGTGCCAGTGTTTTGTTCTTGAAGTTTGGGCAGATGAACTGTTTTGTAGTGCTGTAGAAGCTGGAGGAAAAAAATGAGCTTCATTGTGTGTGATGGATAATTAGTCTGCAGACCATTGGTGATGGTTTGCCATACTGTGATACTTAATTAGTATCCAAGGGATGTGCATGTTTTGTTCTCTTTAGTTGATCTGTTCCTTTTAGTGGGATTAACATTGTTACTACTCATCTTAATTTTGTATGAAATAAGAAATTAGTAATTTAGAGTAACTTCTGGGTATTTGCCAAGTAACTGGGTTAGCCAAACAAGACCTTGCTTAATTATATGATTTCTGACTTTTCAGATTGTGACAAAAAATAGTGAATTCTGTGTTATCCCTCCACCTTGAGACAGGGCCTCACTATGTAGTAATCTAGACTGGCCTACAGCCCTTGTTCTTCCTGCCTCAGCCTCCTGATTTCTAGGATTGCAGATGGATCCCACCATGCTTGACCTGTCTCTCTTTTGCTATATCATACTCCCTTTAGAGAAGAATAACTTTGAAATTTGTAGAGAAATGCCTATCCTGTTTCCTAAAGTCAGGGATGCCTTTAATCCCAACATTCAGTAAGCAGAGGCAGGCTGATCTCTGAGTTTGAGGCCAGCTTGGTCTACAGATAGTTGTCATAGGTAGGTAGGTAGGTAGGTAGGTAGGTAGGTAGGTAGGTAGGTAGATACTTCTTCATCAGGGAAGTATTTCTCAGTCCTTATTGCCCTATGAAGATCTTAGCCTTATTCATTGTACATGGGAGAAGGTCCCTGAAATTCCTATTACAGTTCAGTTGTTTTTGCAAGACTTGATTATACATGCAAAAAAATCCCTTCAGTTATATTTGTGTATATATCAGTTGTTTTTAACCTATGTACCCATATTTTTATTCTTCCTTTAGATGCAGGCAAGTCAACCATTGGAGGACAAATAATGTAAGTCTCTTTTATCTAATGGTAGAGTTAATCTGATTGGATAAATTTTAGGCATTGTAAGTGTTCATGTTGCCATTCAAGGGAGATAAAAACTGGTCACCACCTCAAGTTAGAAACTTTAATAATAAATCATCTGTACAGAAGGTACCAGTTAAGTAATTTTTGTTTTAGTGTGATCATCAGTTTTTAATCACTGTCAAACTCTTATGACGCACTGTTTCTAAAACCCATCTTTAAGAAACAAAACATGTTATATGTGTGTGCTTGTGTGTGTGCATGGTGGTGGTGATTTTTGTACTTGAATAGCTGGGATTAAAGGTGTGAACCACTCCTACCTGATTGCTATGACTTTTTAAATAATTTTTATGTGCATTGGTGTTTTACCTGCGTGTATGTCTGTGTAAGAGCGTTAGATTCCCTGGAACTGTAGTTACAACAATGTTGTGAGCTGCCATGTGGGTGCTGGGAATTAAACCCAGGTCCTCTGGAAGAGCAGCTAATGCTCTTAACCTTCAGGTCTTGTCTCCAATTCTACAAGACCACCCTCCCTTTTTTTTTCTCTATTTTTTGGCAAGGCATGTTGTTGCATACCTTTAATTACGGCATTTTGGGGGCAGGTGGATCTCTGAGTTCAAAGCCAGACTTGTCTATATATAACATTCTTGGCTAGCCAGAGTGACATAATGAGACCTCGTCTGGAAAGCAACAACAAATTTTTGAAGGTGTTGTTTTTGTGAGTATATGCATATATGCATGTGCAACTATGCCTGCAGGTAGCTAGGGAGGCCAGAAGAGGTTGCTGAATCCCTTTGGGATAAAATTACAGGTGGTTTTGAGTTGTCTAGTGTGGATGCTGGGAGTAGAACTGCGTCCTCTGCAAGAGTAGCAACTGCTCTTAACTGCTTAGCCATTTCTCCAGGCCTTATTAAAATTTTATGAAAAATAATATAGTACCCAAGATTACAGAAAGTCTTAATTGGCTTTGAATATACAGATAGTCCCTGGCATTAACAAGAAACCATACTTTGAACTTTGATCTTTTCCTGGGTGGTCTGCTCCTCCTCTGTGGTGTGGACAGTGACTGTGATAGCTCCCAGTCACTGATCACCAAGCTAAACAGCTCTCTACAGTGTACTCCTGCCAGTGTCAGCTGAATAGTGTGTGTGTCCTTTGTGTCTGAACATGAGACATTCAGCACATTAATTTTTTTTTAAAGATTTATTTATTAAGTATACAACATTCTGCCTCCATGTATGCCCACACATCAGAAGAGGGTGCCAGATCTCATTACAGATGGTTGTGAGCCACCATGTGGTTGCTGGGAATTGAACTCAGGACCTCTGGAAGAGCAGCCAGTGCTCTTAACCACTGAGCCATCTCTCCAGCCCTCAGCACATTAATATTAAGTGGACCTTGTGTCACTTGATTTTGCCCAACAGTGAGCTAATATAAGTGTTCTGAGTCTGTTTAAGGTAAGTTAAGCTAAGCAATAATGTTAGGTAGTTTAGGTGTTTTATTTAGTTTTTATTTTTGAGGAAACAGGGTAACCTTAAACTCAAGTATGTAGTCTAGAATGACCCAGAATTCCTGATCCTTCCACTCTACTCTGAAATGCCCCAATAAAATTATTTTGGTTTTGGAGGGGAGGGTCTCACTATGTATCCCTGGCTGGCCTTGAACTTATCCTCCTGCCTCTGCCTCCAAAATGTAGGGGTTAAGTACCACCATGCCTGGCTATAAGGCATTTTTGACTGGTGATGGAGTAAGAGAGAACCATGGCAAGTTAAAGTATATTAATGAAAGCTAACTTTCTTTCTTTTTTCTTTTTTTTTGGTTTTTCGAGACAGGGTTTCTCTGTGGTTTTGGAGCCTGTCCTGGAACTAGCTCTTGTAGACCAGGCTGGTCTCGAACTCACAGAGAAAGCTAACTTTCTCTTTCGTTGAATATGTTTTTATTTTATATGTATTAGTGTTTATGTAATATTTATGTGCACCATGTACATGCCTCATGTCCACAGAGGCCAGAAGAGGGAGTCATATCAGCTGGGTGATGGTGGTGCACGTCTGGTCTACAGAGTGTGTTGCAGGACAGCCAGGGCTGTTACAGAGAGAAACCCTGTCCTGAAAGAAAAGAAAAAAAAAAAAAAAAAAGAAGTCATCACCTGGAACTAGTTACAGATGGTTGTGAGCCGCTGTGTGGGTGCCTGGAAATGAACCTGGGTCCTCTGCCAGAACAACAAGCATTCTTAACCACTCAGCCATCTCTGGTCCCTGCCTTCCTGTTTTCATTTGCCCCTCGTGTTGGTGTTCCTACCCAGAGTGTGTGAGCACTGAACAAGAGCTCTGCCGTTGAGCTACATTCCCAAACCAAAAGTTTGATTTTGACTCACGAATGGACTGTTTTTTTGCTCCTGAAATTTATGTGGATTGAATCAAAGGCAAGTAGTCTGGCCATCATTCCACAACTTTTCTTTTTTCTTTTTTTTAATCAAATAGGGGAGGAGGTAGTGTGAGTGTGTGTGGAATCAAAGCCCCATCCCTCTCTTTCCAATATTACCTACATAGTGACCTACAGTATGATATTCTTAACAATCTGAATGTAAAAAACAAGTGAAAAGGCCACTTTAACTATAGCCTATGCATGTGTGTTGGTCTACATATGTGTTTGCATACATGCAAAGATCCAAGATTGGTGTTAGCTTATTCATTGAGCCAGGATCTCAGTCACACTTAGGGTTCTCTGATTTGGCTAATCTCACTGGTCATCTTACTCTGGGATTCTATCACTGTGCAGCTGAACTAACAGAAAGGGCAGACCCGCCTCCCTCACTTGAACTCCAAGTCTCAAGTTTGTGTGACCAGTGCTATCACTAGTGAGCCATCACTCCATCCCCAATTTTTACCATTTTATATAAGCTACCTACTTGAAAAGATACTGACCTCTGTTAATGTTAATTAACAACTTTTTAAAAGTGTGTGTGTGTGTGTGTGTGTGTGTGTGTTGGGGAAGCACATACATGGCATGTTGTTTATGTAGGACAAAAGAATTTCTCATTCTTCACCTCCCTTCTTGTTTGTAGGTTGTTGTCTATGTTAGACTAGCTGTCCTTCTAACCCCCCCCCCCTTTCATGCTCCCTATAAAGAAACGAGGATTACAGGCATGTGTCCTGCTGTGTCTGGGTTCTAGGAATCCGAACTAAGGTTGTTAAGATTTATGCAGGGTTTGAATTTGTTGTTGTTGTTGTTTGGGTTTTGTTTGTTTGTTTTTATGTTTTTGTTTTTGGCTTTTTGAGACAGGGTTTCTCTGTGTATTTGGAGCTTGTTCTGGAACTCATTCTGTAGACCAGACTGGCCTCCAACTCACAGAGATCCACCTGCCTCTGCCTCCTGAGTGCTGGGATTAAAGGCGTGTGCCACTGCCCAGCAACAGTATGTTTTTATTGATGGATTGTAGAGTAGCCTTTTCACTGTTTTCTGGTTTCGTTTTGTTTTTTATATCCAGATTGTGAAGAACATCATACTGTAGGGGATTATGTAGGTAATATTTGGGATGAGAGGGATGGGGCTTGGATTTGACCTGAATGAAAGCTAGCTGGCATTACTAGTGAATGAACGAGTCAGACAGCAGTCTCACATTGACAAAGGCTATTTTAAAATGACCTCACTTTGCAAAGTCATTTGACAGAATGTCATTGCCTACACCTGCACATTAGAATTTTATATATATTTATATATATTATACTAAAGGGTATACATAATGATCTTTAGTATTACTAAAGAGTCTTTAACATGAAAATTTTTTGTCTTACATGTTCACACTCATGTGGGTTTATGTGTGTTGGTATTTCAGAAAGATAGCAGAAACAATATAGAGTTCCTATAGTCCCTTTATTCACTTTAACCTAATATGAAAATCCTCCATAAACTGTGGCACAGTAATCAAAACTGGAAAACTGGGGCTGGGGATATAAATCAGTGTTGCGAGCACTGACTCACCAGCCATGTGTAGTCCTGGGTTGAGTCCTCAGCATGGTTTACAAAAAGAAAAAAAAAAATGCAATGGTGGCAAGCACCTTTAATCCCTACACTTGGAGGCAGGCAGGTCTCTGAGTTCATTAACATCTTGGTCTATAGACTTGAGTGAGTTTCCATGACAGCCAGGACCACACAGAGAAACCCTGTCTTGGAAGGGGGGAAAAAGCAATTCAGAGGTAAAAAACTTCAACTTTGTTGGTGGTGGTTTATTGTTTGGTTGGTTTGCATGGCTGCCTGCAAGGTGCAACTTTGCAGTGTCACTCTTAATTAACATCACTAGGACATTTGATGCTCTTCTTAAAAATTAAACTACAGGGCTGGGCGGTGGTGGCCCACGCCTTTAATCCCAGCACTCGGAAGGCAGAGGCAGGCGGATCTCTGAGTTCGAGGCCAGCCTGGTCTACAAGAGCTAATTCCAGGACAGGAACCAAAAGCTATGGAGAAACCCTGTCTTGAAAATAAAAATAAAAAAAAAAGGATAAAACAATAGATCATGGGGCCTGGAGAGATGACTCAGGTTTAGAGCACAGGCTGCTTTTCCAGAGATCCTTAGTTCAATTCCTAGCAACCACGTGGTGGCTCGCAATCATCTAAAAGGAGATATGGTGCCTTCTTCTGTCTAGCCTGCAGATACACATGTGGACAGAACACAGTAATATGTATGTATATATATATATACACATACATACATACACACATACACATAATAAAACTTTAAAAAAATAAATAAAAATTAAATAGATCTTAATAGGATTTCACCATATTTTCCGTTGTTATTTTTTATGTTCTTAAATTATATATGATAGGGCATTATTATATCTCCATAGCCCTTAATTAGTAACATTTCCAGTTTCCTTGCTTTATGGCCTTGGTAACCTTTAAAAACAATTAAATTTGTATTTGTGTGCATATATTTGTGTACCTAGATGTATTGTGCATATGCATGTATCTGAGCAGGCTAGAAGAGGGTATTAGATCTCCTGGAATTATAATTACAGGCAGATGTGGGCTACCATGTGTGTGCTGGGAACCAAACCTGGTTCCCCTGCAAGAACAGCAATTGCTCTTAACCACTGAAACATCTCTCCAGGCCCCCTTCCCTTTTTAAAAATGTATGTGTATGTGTGTGTCCCCAGGATACCAGAAAAGACTATTGGCTCCCCTGGAGTAGGAGATACAGATGATTGTGAGCTGATTGGTGTGAATGCTGAGCACTGAACTCAGGTCCTCCTGAAGAAAAGAGCCACCTCTGGCCCTTGGCCTTAGTAATTTAAAGAATGTGAACTGGTTATTTCATATAGTATTCTGTAGTTCAGTCAAGACTGATACTTTCTTGTATTAAGAATATCACAGAAGACAGCTAGCTATATTTTGTACTGTAGGGATCATGATGTTAACTCTTTACTTATGCAATATATTTCACAAAGTATTGATATAAGCTGAGTTTATTGTTTTCATCTAATAATTTGAAATGATACAGATACCGTTTTATATTTAAATTAGCTCTACAAATGGTACATTTACTTTAAAAGAGTTGGAGTTTTTTGCTAGTGAGATGACTCAGTGGGCAAAGGTCACCAAAGCTAACCATCTGGACTCATTCCCTGAAACCCACATGGTGGAAGAGGAAGACTGACTGCTGCAAACTGTCCTGGTTCCACATAAATAAGTGAATGTAGTTTCTTTTTTTCTTTTTTTTTTTTAAAGATTTATTTATTTATTATGTATACAACATATGCCTTGATGTATGCCCGCACGCCAGAGGAGGGCGCCAGACCCCATTACAGATGGTTGTGAGCCACCACGTGGTTGCTGGGAATTGAACTCAGGACCTCTGGAAGAGCAGCCAGTGCTCTTAACCTCTGAGCCATGTCTCCAGCCCCCTGTAGTTTCTTTTTTTAAATAGCAGTTTTTCTGTAGCTCACATTCCCTCCAGGCGCTTCAGTCGTGTCCTCACTGTGCTGAGTAACTGAAGTGTGTACTTCTTTGTCTTTAACCCTTTACAGGTATTTGACTGGAATGGTCGACAAAAGGACACTTGAGAAATACGAACGGGAAGCTAAAGAAAAAAACAGAGAAACTTGGTATAGTAAACTTTTATGATACTAGAAACTCGGGGATCACCTGCCTCTGTTTCCCAAGTGCTTGGATTGAAGGGGTGTGCCAGCATGCCTGGCAAATGGGAAAAGTCCTAATTAGTATTAGACTCAAAAAGATTGTAAGCTATTACTATGGATGTTTTGAAATAATTTATGTAGAATTATATAATTCTCACATAATGAAATAATATCAGAATTTTTCTTCATTTCTTTTTTTTTGTTGTTGTTGTTATTTTGAGACAAGATTTCTCTGTGTAGCTCTGGCTGTCCTGGAACTCACTCTACACCAGACTAGCATCAAACTCAAAACTCCCAAATGCTGAAATTAGAGGTGTGCACCACAACCGGTGCATATCAGTAGAAGGAAGAATTATTTGGGCTTATAGTTCCAGAGGAATTAGAATCCATCATGGCTGGGAGGCATGGCAGCAGGCAGTCAGGATGGCTGGAGCAAGCAAGCTGAGAGTAAACCTGAAGTGCAAGCCTGCCTTCAGTGACTTACCGCTTCCGACCAGACCACACCTTCTAGAACTCCCTAAACCTTACTGGCCAGATAGCTCATGCCCAAGACTTTGGGGATATTTCATTCAAACCACAGCATTAATATTATGACTCGTCTTTGTTTTTCCTTTTCTCTGTCACCTCTTCTTTCTTAGAGGATTTTTGATATGTAGCTCAGGATAGTCTCAAATATTCACTGTCCTGCCTCTCTCTTCCTGACACTAGAATTACAGATGTGCAATAGCACACCCAGCATTTAAGTAATCTTGCTCCCTATGTTGTCAGTTTAGTGTTATGAATGTTTGCTTATAGACTAGCCGACTATGTATAAGCTGTTTGAATCGTAACAATACATATTTAATTTTCCTGTTTTTATTTTACTAGTCTTCCTTATGACACAGATGAGTAGTGGATATGAAACTGGGTGTCACATCTTATTACATGCTTATTAGTAGAACATAATGATAATCATGAATTTTTTTTTTTTAAATTCTTCCAGGTACTTGTCTTGGGCCTTAGACACAAACCAGGAAGAACGAGACAAGGGGAAAACAGTAGAAGTAGGTCGTGCCTATTTTGAAACTGAAAAGAAGCATTTTACGATTCTAGATGCTCCTGGCCATAAGAGTTTTGTCCCAAATATGATTGGTGGTGCCTCTCAAGCTGACTTGGCTGTATTGGTAAGAAAGACATTTCCATCTGGGCTTTTTTTGAGGGTAGGCTCTGGGCATATTTATTAGTAAATAGCCCACGTGTATCTTCTCTTTTCCCATTGATAAGGCTTGAACCCATGGTGTTTGCATATTGCTGTACAAGTATTCTACCACTGATTTGTGATACAGGGTCTTACCATGTAACTTAACTGGCCTGGAATTCAATATGTAGGCCAGGTGGGCCTCAAACTCAGAGATGTACTTGCCTCTGATTTACGGTGTGCTCCACAACCCGACTTCAGTGTTCTGATCCACCCTCATAAAGTTGTAGTCATTATAACACTATACATAATCGTAATAGTCATTTTTGTCACTCCTGTTTTCCCAGAACACATTATAATAATTTACTTGTAAAAAAAACTCCATAAAGGCCAGGCGGTAATGGCATACACTTTTGGTCCCAGCACTCAGGAAGCAGAGTCAAGTGAATTTCTGTGAGTTTGAGGACAGCTTGGTTTACAAGAGCTAGTTCCAAGACAGGCTCCAAAGCTACAGAGAAATCTTGTTTCAGGGAATGGGGGAGATTAAATATTTTCTGATTGCTATTATCTGTGTGTTTAAATTTAGTGGATTTTTTTTTTTATGCTAAGCCCACAAAGATTGAAATTAATGTTGTTTCTCCTTTCCCCCTTCCTTCTTGCTAGGTAGTACATACTGTCCTCAAACTTACTATCCTCTCATCTCAGACTCTTAAATGCTAGGATTACAAGTATGCATTAGCATATACTCATTTTGGTTGTAGTATTAAGAGATTAAACCCCGTGGGGGCTACAGAGATGGCTCAGTGACTAAGAGGACATACTGTTGTTGCAGAGAGGCTGAGGTGATTTTCAGCATCCATATCGAGTGGCTCACAATTGCCTGTAACTCAAGCTCCAAGAATATCTGATGCTTCTGGCCTTAGCAGGCACCTACACAGAGAGAGAGATTGAGATTGAACTTGGAGCCCTGAAATTGCTAAACACATATTTTCTCACATCTTTAACCTAAAAAGAACATACTTGAACTGTTTGAGCTATATGCACATATCCTAGATTTAGGGAAGTTGAAGGGGTTAGTAAAAACCACTGTTTGTTTTGTAACTTGCCACAGCACATGGAAATAGCTATTCCAACGAGCCATACCTACTCAACTCCAAACTCTTAAGTCTTGAAGCCATTTGGACACATGCCCCATTTCCTTGGAAAGCTTTCTTTTCGTGATTTCAGGTTTTTTGTTTTGTTTATCGAAACAGGATTTCTCTGTTTAACAGCTCTAGTTGTCTTGGAACTCACTCTACCTACTAGGCTGTCCTTGAACTCACAAGAGATCCACCTGCCTCTCCCTCTCAAGTGCTGGGATTGAAGACATCCGCTGCCACCTAGCTGGTTCTTTTTTTTTTTTTTTTTCTTCGAGACAGGGTTTCTCTGTGGCTTTGGAGCCTGTCCTGGAACTAGCTCTGTAGACCAGGCTGGTCTCGAACTCACAGATATCCTCCTGCCTCTGCCTCCCGAGTGCTGGGATTAAAGGCGTGCGCCACCATTGCCCGGCGTGGAAAGTGTTCTTATAGAAGCTAAAAGTATACATGTTTTGCTGCTAGATTTGATGTGGGAGGAACCTGAATGTTTAAGAATAAATTACTGAATTTCTTGGAATAGGTAATCTCAGCCAGGAAAGGAGAGTTTGAAACTGGATTTGAAAAAGGAGGACAGACAAGAGAACATGCAATGTTGGCAAAGACAGCAGGTGTCAAACACTTAATTGTGCTTATTAATAAGATGGATGATCCAACAGTAAACTGGAGCAACGAGAGGTAAGCTTACATGCTTTAGTGACTTTTTACAGACATGTTGGTGAAGAAATGGATGTTTTTGTTATTGTTTGCATTGTTTCTTCCGGTTTTTCTAAGCTTTAATTTGTTTACTGATGAAACTACTACTCAGCATAATTGTGTTATTTCTAAATATTCTTAGATATGAAGAATGTAAAGAAAAACTAGTACCGTTTTTGAAAAAAGTTGGCTTCAATCCCAAAAAGGACATTCATTTTATGCCCTGCTCAGGACTGACGGGAGCAAATCTGAAAGAGCAATCAGATTTCTGTCCTTGGTACATGTGAGTAACCTTCTGCTACCTTTTCTAAAAGGAGATGGGCATATCTAAAAGAAATTGAAATATATTTTGGCTGTAGTCTTGGTTTTAAAAATACCTGGACCTTTGCCTTTTAAAACATTTATATGGTTTGTGTGTGTGTGTGTCTGTTGTATGCTTATGTGGGTAATATGCAGGTTCGTATGTGTGGTGTATGCTATATGTGTAATATGAAGATGTTCTTTGCCCATGTTTACATGTGGACAGGCCAGAGGTTGAAACCAGGTGTTTTTAAGAGTTTTTCAAACCTGAAATTACCTGATTTGGTTCGGGCCCTGGGACCAGCCTGTCTCCTCCCCAGTGCTGGATTACAGACGCATGCCACCACCTGGCTGTTCCATTGGTCCTGGTGCTTGCATAGCAGGCAATCTACCCACTGAGCCGTCTCCCTGGCCCTATTTGTATTTTTTTGTTTTGTTGTTATTGTTGTTTTGGGATTTTTTGAGTCATGTGAGTTCTTTTTTATTTTTATTATTTTGTTTGTTTTTTGAGACAGTTTCTCTGTGTAGCCCTAGCTATCCAGGAACTCACTTTAGACCAGTCCCATCTTTTAACTCCTAGAGAGATCTTCCTGCCTCTGCCTTCTGAGTGCTGGGATTAAAGACGTGGGCCACCACTGCCAGGCTTTTGTATGAGTTCTTTATGGGGTCTTTGGCCTATAACTTAAGGCAATAGATTTCTTGCCTTATAAGCATGAGGACCCTGATTTCAATTTCCCAGTGCCAATCACTCAAACACAGAAAACCCCAACAGGTTTCTTATGTACAAGTCCTTTACTAGGTAATTAATCAACATGTACTTTTCCCATTCCATATTAAGGTCATTCTTGCCTTCCCCTTCTTTCATCCCTAGTTGTTTGTATTGGGTAGAATCCAGAGGCCTGCCCCACTGAGCATGTTCTGCATCACTGACCTGTCCTCGGCCCTCCATGGCTGTTTTTCACTGTGGGAGTGTAGATGCACATGTGCTACGGTCGCTAGGTGGAGGGCAGAAGACAGCTGTCAGGCTGCTCCTCACCCTCTTCTCTGCTCTTCACCCTACTCCTGCTGGCGCACGATCTTCCACGTGACTCCTGTCTCTGCTTCCATCTTCTCCTAGCAGTCCTAGAATCACCAAATCTGTTTTGTAAATCATAGCTAGTGAGATGGCACAGCAGCACATTATGGTGCCTGCTGCCAAGACTGGTGATGTGGTTCACTCCCTGAAACCCACGTGATAGGAAGAGAGAGCAAACGTCTGCAAGTCCTCTGAAACATCAGCTGGTCCCAGGTTACAAAGATTTAGCTCTACAGAAGAGGGTGAGACCAGTTTAGTTTCTAGGTAATAAAGTGTTAAGATTTTAGGTTTTCAGGCCTGGAGATGGCTCATCAGTTAAGAGCACTCAAAATTGATTTCTGGCACCTACATGATTGCTTGTACTTCAATTCCAGGGTCTCTGACGCTCTCTTCTCACCTCCTGATAGGCATGCACACATAGACAAAGCAATACACATAAGAAAAAAAAAATCTAAATTTAAAAGAAACTTTTTTCCTTTTATATTTAGTTTTCAGGTTTTTTTTTTTTGCGTAAGGTTTATGGTATTTAGCTAGGTATATTTGCTTTGATGTGGGCATTCCATTATTCTGGTATAATTTCTGTGTTGTGTTATCATCTTCATTAGAAATCAGGTGGCCATAAATGATGTTTGCTTGTTTGTTTTTCCCTCAGTTCTCCTCTGTTCAACTGTTTGTCTTAAGACTGCACAGTCTTGCTTGTAGAACTTTGAAATTGGCCAGAAAAACTTTGGTTTTCTTTCTTTTTTGGCTATTGTGAATCTCTTCCACACAAATGGTTCAAATCAGTTTATAATTACTGCAAAACAAGCAGCCTTTCTAGACAGTGTTGCCTTATGGAATCCTGATCTGATAAGGATTAAACTTCACAGTCCATAAATTAGGAAATAGAGAGTTGGGTGTTGGGTGCATGCCTATAATCCCAACACTTGAGAAGTGTGGCAAGAGGATTGATTGAGTTTGAGGCAAGTCTGGAAGATATAGCAAAATCCTATGTCCCTCATCCTTGTGTAAGTAAGAGTATAATGCAGGCTGTCACAAGTCACTTTTTCCTAGACTTAGCATAAATTCATGGGGAAGCTAGGCCAGCATGGCTCAGCAGGTTAAGGTGCTGGCTACCAAGCCTGATGACTTGAGGTCTTTCTCCAGAGCTCAGATCACTAAAGGCGAGAACTGACGCCTGCAAACTGTCCTCTGACTTCTGTGTGCACATACTCACACATAAACAAACACAATAAGTCAGTTAATAAACACCCAGTGTGTTTGTAGTTTTTCATTTTGTTGTGTTCTGTTTTGAGACAAGAATCTCACTATATAGACTCATTTAGTCTGGAACTTAATAACCTCTTGTCTGAACCTCCCAAGTGCTGGGATTACAGGGTTATATCACCATATCTGACCTAGGGAGCTTTTAAAAGTAAGGTATTTTGTTTTATTTTAGTTTTATGAGGTGTTAAATTTCATGAAATGAAAATATATAAATAAAAAAATGTGCATTAGAAAAATAAAATGTTATATATAATCATTTATTATTTAAATTACAACACTATAACTTAGATTTTAAAAAATTATTATGTTAACTTTCTTTAATGAATATTGTTCTATTCTCAGTGGCTTACCATTTATTCCATATCTGGATAATTTGCCAAACTTCAATAGATCAGTTGATGGACCAATCAGGCTGCCAATTGTCGATAAGTACAAGGTACCTCAAATATTAAAGTTACTGGATTTCAGGGGAGTTGAAATCATTGTGTTTTGTTGTAAATTAGAAAAAAAAATCTTAATAATGTTTATTAGCTTTTAAGTGTTTGCTTCTAGAAGGCCATGATTTACTCAAACTTTTTACATTAAAAGTTGTAGCTATTGATAAGTCGCCTTGCAAGAATAGTACACTAAATTACAGAGTACCAGGACGTGAGGGCTTATGTTGTGGTATGCACTTTGTTGGGTGTGGTGGTGCATGCTTTTATTCTCTAATCTCAGCACTTGGGAGGCGGAGACAGATGGATCTTTTTAACTCAGGGCCAGCCTGGTCTACATAGCAAATTCCAGGTTAGCCAGGGCTACATAATGAGACCCTGTCTCAAATAATAACTCCACATCTCAGACCCCACAAAAAAATCGACTTCGTTGATTTCAATTGAATTTCCAACTTTGTTTTTTAGGTAATTTGTTTTGCGATACAGGGCCTTGAACTTAGGGCCCTGTGCACACCAGGCAAGCTGTCTGCCACTGAGCTATATCCCAAGCCCTCAACTTAATCTTTAAACTCTGACAGTAACAATTCATGTAATGTTTTACCTACTTTTAAGCCTTTTGTCCCTCAATTAGCTCCACTCTAAAGCTTACAAACAAATAAGTTTCTAAATTTATACAAACAGTTCAATCTTCCAACATAAAATTCTATGCTGTTTTCTGTATGAAGCTTTCTTTTGCACGTTAGCCATTCCTTGTTATTAATATAATTGTACTAAGGCCTAAGATACAAATTATTATGGAGTATTTATTACCTCCTTTATGTTTAAGAATAATCATAGGGGCTGGCGAGATGGCTCAATGGTGAGAGCATTAACTGCTCTTCCAAATGACATGGCTTCCCTTCCCAGCACCCACATGGCAGCTCACAACTGTTACTCCAGGATCCAACACCCTCACACAGGCATACAAGCAGGCAAGACACCAATGCTCATTAAATAAAAACAAATAAATTATATAAAAAGAAAAAAGGTTATACCTTCAAAAATAAATACTCATAAGCATTCGATCAGTTATTAGCTAAAGACTTTTCTTGGTAGATTTCACCTGCTATAATCAGGAATAAGTCTGAATGTTTTTTAATTATTTTATTCTAAATTTGATTAGGATATGGGGACTGTGGTCCTGGGAAAGCTGGAATCTGGATCTATCTGTAAAGGCCAGCAGCTCGTGATGATGCCCAACAAGGTGAGAGTTCAGTGCGTGTCTTCTAGAGTCACTCTTGTTTCTCAAAAACAGAAACATTTCAGTCAAATTTATACATAGTAATTATTTTGTTAATGCTCAGTGTGAAATAGAAGAACAGATTTGTTTTTGTATTCAGTGACAATTGAAGCACCTTAGAACTAGAAGGAGCAACAGGAAAGTTTGAAACTATCAATCTGTCCCATTATCAACGTGGGCAAATAACATTTTGGATTTGGAGTGGCTGAGTAACTGCTTAAAGGCTGACAGGACCGATTATCAAGAGAGCCATGGAAGAAAACTCAGGTTCAGTTCTGGTGTGTCTCTGTGTCTGCGTCGTTTCGATGCCACAAAATAATATGTCCAAGACTATATTTGAGGGGAAATCTTTTGGGGTTTTGTTTGTTTTGTTGTTGTTAAACAGCTCCAGGGTAAGGACCTTGACCTTGGCCAATCAGGCATTTCTTCATCACTGAGCTAAATACCCTGCTCCCCAAGGTCATTCATACCAGGTAACACTTGGGTTTGAGAACAGTTTGAAGAACTTAAAAAAAAATTAACTTGGGTGTGGTGGTACTCGCCTTTAATCCCCATACTTGTGAGGCAGGGTGGGTCTATGTGTTCAAGGCCAGCCACAAAGGGAGTTCTAGAACAGCCAGGATACACAAAGAAACTGTCTTGAAAAAAACAATTAAAAAAAAAAATTTAAGGTCTGGCAGGGTGGCTCAGTGGGTAAAAGGCTCGGCCCTTGCTTCCTGAGAACCCTTGTTAAGGAGAAAGGAGAGAAACTACAAAGTTGTCCTCTGCCCGCCTCCATATGTGCTCCATGGCGCTCACCACACATGCGCACACACCACAATGATAAACAAACAAAAATCTTGAGTTTAAAGTAGAGTCGATGATTTCTACTTGGAGGTATTATAAAAGAAAAGATAACTCCGTCAATGACATTTAGGACATTAGCATTTCTGCTGTGCTGACCATTGCTGCACATGACTGTCTAGTTCCTTTCTCATGAGGAAATCTTTCATTCATTAAACAATGTGCTTTTCAAAAGACATTTGCTTGTTTTATTTTGTATATTAATGTTTGACCTGCATCTGTGCAGCTGCAGCGTGTACACTTGGTGCCCAAGGCAGCCAGCAGAGAGCATTGGGTCTGCTGTAACTGGCGTTATATACAGACAGTTGTGAGCCATCGGTTGGTGCTGGGAATTGTTCATAGGGCCTTTGTAAGAGCAGCAAGTGCCCTTAACAACTGCCCTTAACAATCTTTCCAATCCCAACAATATGCTTTCAAAATTCACTTGTTAAAATAACTGAGAAACATATCCTTATTTCAGGATTGGCCTGCTGTGGGAAATAAGTTTTTAAAAGTTTTTAATTATAAAATTTACCTGAAATGAAATCAAGTATTAAGTTTGGTATTTGTCTAAGTCTCCTGTGGCTGTGATTAAATAAATACCCTGAGTAAAGCAAATCAAGGGAGGGGCTGGGGAGATGAGTCAGCATTTCAAGAGTTCTTGTCACCTACTTCAAGCAGCTCACAGTGACCGCTAATTCCTGCTCCAGGGGATCCTGTACCCTCTTCTGGCCTCCACAGACATTGCAAGCACAACATTCTACACACAGAGATAAGCATACACCTGTACATAAATAAAAGTAACTTTTTTCTTTTTAAAGCAAATCAAGGGGGTGGGAGAGATGGTGCAGCAGTTGAGAGCACTTATTGATTTTGTAAAGGATCTGTATTTAGTGTCTAAACACCCACACCGTGCTTCCCGGCAAACAATTCCAGTTCCAGGAGATCTGATGCTGTCACTTCTGATCTTTGAGGGCACCAGTCGGGCACATACAGAACTTACATAAAATGTTTGTTGGTTTGTTTGTTTGTTTGAGAAGCAACTCAAGGGAATAAGGTTTTGTTTCAGCTCTTAGGCAGGAGAGTCAAGGCTACAGAAGTTTTACGCAGCTGGTCACCATATCTACTATCAGGAAGAGGGATAAGTCACTAGTGTCAGCTCCCATTCTCCATTCTATACTGTAGGCCCCCATTTCAGGGAGTGGTCCCAGCCAGAAACAGTAAAGAGGGTTCTTCCCACATGAGTTAACTATGGTGATTCTATACAAGCATAATCCCTCCCTGGCGTGCCTGGGCATTGGCCTCTCAGTGATTCCAGATCACTAACAATCACAGTGTTGTCGTTTTGAAAATGAGGTTTGTTCTGGATTCTATTTAGAAGTTATTAAAATATGATATTAAAAAATAATAAGTTATGACAGTTGCGACTAATCTCTGAGATTGAGCCCCTTTTCTTTCCCTCTCAATTTTTATTTTGGCATGTGAATTTGTAGCTTCTTAACAAATGAACATTGAGGTGATTTTATGTCCATAATCCAGTTCATATATCAGAAAGCCTCCAACTTTGTTTCTTTTTAAGCACAATGTGGAAGTTCTTGGAATACTTTCTGATGATGTAGAAACAGATTCTGTAGCTCCAGGTGAAAACCTCAAAATCAGACTGAAAGGGATTGAAGAAGAGGAGATTCTTCCAGGATTCATCCTTTGTGATCTTAATAATCTCTGTCATTCTGGACGTACATTTGATGCCCAGGTAAATAAGTTACTGCAATCATCTTCGTGGTTGTTAGAACCTAAGTGGTTAGAATTTCAGTGCCTTTTGTCCTATTTGTGACATTCCACATAACCAGTATCAGAGGAACTGAAACAGTCAAACTCATTTGTACATTGCAACAATATTATCTTGAAATTTCAAGATGCTATAAAGAATTTATTAGATGGTATTTTTTGTGAATTCCATTTATTCTTTGGTTTATAGATAAAGTTACAGTATTATTGACTTTGTAAAGGCAGACAGTGATACATCACCAATAATGTTTAGTTTGGAATGTCCTTGATTGTGACTGCAACATAGTTGTTTGCTACTCCAGGACGGCATGTTTTCAGACTTGGGCCAAACGGACATTTAACCTGACCTTCTTATGAGAGTGACAGCAAACCACTGTTACCATCACAGAACTTTTGTAGTACTATTAAACTGGGCCTGGAGCACAGTGGTTAAGAGTTCTTGCTGCTGTCACAGAGTACATGGGTTCAGTTCCAAGTACCGGCAGGTTACAATGCCTGTAACTCCAGTTCTAAGGGATCCAGAACCCTTGTCTGCCCTCTTCAAGAAGCAAGCACGTGTGCACATGGTAAACAGACAGATATCCAGGCAAACACTCATACACATAAATAAATGTTAACCCTTCTCCTGAAAAGTATGACTAAGGGTTTTTTTTTGTTTTGTTTTAGTTTTTCGTGTTTTTTTTTTTTTTATGCCAAGTTTATTTACTTGTTTACTAACTGGCCTTGGTTATTGGATAAGAAAAATGGATACACTATGGGAAGATCACGTCTGGGTAATTTGTGGGAGGTAATTTGTTACATTAGTTCCATAGGTAGTATATACTAAAGGCTTCTCAGAGCCTGCCTGTTGAACTGAAATAAACCAGGCACTTCTCAATTTCTATACAGTGGAATGTTTGAGGGTGAGCCTTGGTTGGGCAACTTGAGCTATCCTGTCAACAAAAGAAAAAGGTATAACACATATTAAAAGTTAGTGATTCCTGTTGCTTCTTGGAATATCGTACCTTTAGAGCATTGATGATAAATTGTGGGGTTTTGTTTGTGTTTCTGATTTGACAGATAGTGATCATAGAGCACAAATCCATCATCTGCCCAGGGTACAATGCGGTGCTGCATATTCATACCTGTATCGAGGAGGTCGAGATAACAGTGAGTTTGGGTTTTCAGGGTAACTGGCTTGCTTAATTTTTCAGAATATTGTATCTTGATCATTTCTGATACAGGTACATACGTACTTTTTCCTGTGGCGAGGAGGATGGGTGTGTCATGCTACATGGGTAGAAGTTAGGGACAACTTTCTGGAATTAGTCTCTAATTTAATTTACTTCTGCTTTGAGCATTAGACTCAGGTCAAGAGACTTACCTGGCAACTATCTTGCTACCTTATTTAACATTTAAATTTTTTTTCTTATCTTTTTTTTTTTTAATTGACTAGGCCTTAATCTGCTTGGTAGATAAAAAATCAGGAGAAAAAAGTAAGACTCGACCTCGTTTTGTGAAACAAGATCAAGTATGCATTGCGCGTTTGAGGACAGCAGGGACCATCTGTCTGGAGACCTTTAAAGACTTCCCTCAGATGGGACGCTTTACCTTACGAGATGAGGGTAAGAGGTTTTCAGTGTCTCTTGATGTTAGACTTCAGTAGATAGCATGGTCTGAGCACTGTCCATATTATAGCAGATTAAAAAAATCCAGATTTCTGTTCCATAATAGTCATATGTGATAAGTATACTTAGTTGAATATATTAAACAACAAATGGAATTACCATATAGTACCAGTAATGTTGTATGTAGACTTAATTTTAATATCTTATACTAGTGCACTCAGAAAAAATTGAATTTACTAAGACATTTCTATAATGAAGACTTGTATAATAAATAAGGGTTATATGACGATCTTTTGTTACTTTAATATGTAATTCATATCCCCTTTCTCCCTCCCTTTGGTTGATACAGAATAACTGTAATTCTCATCTAACAGTCTCAAAATCCTTGTATAAAAACAAAATTATGTTTTGTAATTTTTTTTTTTTTTTTTAAGATGAGGTCTCTTGTAGTCTACTGGCAATCAAAGCCAACACTTCTGACATTTGAGGCTGCACTCTATAGGCCGAACTGTATCCCCAGCACTGTGTGTTGTTTGAGACTGGGTCTCATAGTGGAGCCTAGGTTGGCCTCCAACTCTCTGCTGTCCTTGGCCTCCTGAGTGCTGGGATTACAAATGTGAATTCCCATGTCTGGCAACTAGAAAACTATATAAAACTTTGTGGTTCAACAGAAATACAGATAACTGTTTAACATGGTAGTGTCCGATATTGTTACGTCAGTATAAAAACTGTTGAATTTATTTATTGATTGATTGATTTTTTTTTTACCTTTCCCCCCAAAGTTTGACTGGGTGATGGTTTCATTTTAAACACCTTATCCACCAAATTTGTTGATAGTGACATTTGTTATACTTAATAGTTTAGCAGGATTTTTTTTTTTTTTTTGAGGCATCATTTCTATGGAAAGCCCAGCCAGCCTTGAACTCAAGAACCCAAGTGCTAGGACTACAGCCATTTGTGCTGTGCACCCAGCTCGAAATAATTTTAGTTGGCCTTAGAACCTGATGGAGTGTGGATAGAAGAAAGAAATTAAGGAAGATAACGTAGCTTTTAGGTTTCCGAGACTCGTGGGTTCATACTTTATACTTCCATCCCCTTCAGCTCACAGGCACGCTCTTGGAAGAGTCTTTTCTGTGAATTGTACGCTTAGAGACAGGTTTAGCTTTTTAGTAGCTATACAGATACATGGGAAGCATTTTGTTTTGTTTCATTAGCAGATTTTAAGTTTAGCCATGTTGTTGGATGGCTGTACTTCATTAATTTTATCATTAAATGGTATTCTGTTGTGTGGATGCCACTTCCCAGTCGGACTCATTTGAAATTACCTAACCAGATATCCTGGTTTGGGTGGGTAAAGCTATTAAGTCAGGAATTTGCACAATGACAAAATTTTCTTTAGGTTAGAGAAGCTTAGTACATTCCATAAACTCACTGAAAGTACTGAAAGGTATATTTTTTTGTTTTTGTTTTGTTTTTTTTCAAAATTTCATTTCTAGGTAAGACCATTGCAATTGGAAAAGTTCTGAAACTGGTTCCAGAGAAAGACTAAGCATTTTCCTGATGACCCTGCACAATACTGTGAGGAATATTGACTGCAAAGAACTATTCACACCGCCTTCTCTTATTTTCTGCCCATTGACAAACCTCTCCCCATATTTTGCAAAGAAAATTCACAGCAAAAGTCCACATTATGTCAGCTTTCTCATATTGAGAGCTCTGCTATGCCACTGTTGAATTTTCCCCAAGATTTTGCCCCCTTTCAAACTTTGCTTCCTTGGACAGATTTGGCAATAGCTTTGTAAGTGATGTGGACATAATTGCCTACAATAATGAAAACCTACAGGAATTTTTATTTTTCATTTTCCCCTTAGGCATAGTTAGTCCCCCCCACCCAGGCAGATCATTCTGAGTGTGCGAGTGTGTGTGCACATGTTAAAAAGACAACTACCATGTTAATAAAATATTCAATTTGAAACCCTTTTCGGTATTTGAATTGCTTTGGAATACTGTTTTTTATCTCAATGTAACATTGTTGCATTAGCTTTTTAACTGCCAAGTAATTGAATACATTTTATTACTTGGATTTTTCTAAACTCTCCTTACCCACTCACTTTAAATGGGGCATTTACAAACACTGTTCAAGTTTGTATTAAAGGAAAGAATTTGTTGTTTGATCCCTTATTTTGATGGTTAATGCATATATAAACACCTTTATGCAGCGGCAGCACTGCTTTACTAACTAGGTCTATTCTTCTCTGCCAATTTATATTTAATATGATTTCTTAAACACAGTAAGTTGTTTGGAAGCAAACAGCATTACTGTCATCTTTAAGAGTACAAGCTTAATGAAACTGCACCCTAGAGACAATTCCATTAGCTTGTTACATTAATGGAATTCGTAGTAAAGAAAGCATGTTGAGACTGGCAAACACCCTTTAGTTTTTCTGCGAGCTGCATGCATCTAGTATGAAACCCTCTCAGTTACACATGCCAGTCCCACAAGTTACATTGCAGTAACTAAAGGGTCGGAGAGCCTTGCTTCTTCATGCCAATTCTCAATCCATTGACGAAATGAACATAGTCATCACATACTTCCCACACTAAAATGAACGGCAACAAATAGAGTTAAGCACAGGATAGGTTTTAGCTCAATTATTGTGAGTTTTCTTCAGTATAAGCTGTAATTTGCTAACCTTGCTGTGGATGGACTACAGTGCAGCATTCTGTGGTGGTTTTAGTTCAGAGGGTGACTTTCTACACCAGCTGTCATGGCTGCAGTTTTTCGTGAGAATAAGTGGGAAGTAGAAGAGACAGTTTCTGGGCTTGCCAGGGTCTCCATGTTGAGTGTTTGCTTCCATTTATGAGATTTGGCCTCTTACATTGTGATTCCTAAGAGACTTTTTAACTGTATGTTTATTGGTATGGCCCATTCCTGTAATCTTGCTCCACAGAAAAGAAAAGCCTAGCCAACTGTATTTCCAGTTAGAAAACAAAACACAAAAGTGTTTTTTAAACACTAAAATGCCAACTGCAGAGATAAATGAGTAGCTGTCTTCTGGACAGGGCCAAGGTAGAGCCCTCCAGCTTTGAACTACAAATATGGCTATTAAATTGCATAAAATTTAAATTTTATAATGTTTGCAAATATCTGGGCTTTTATTTTTCTGTGACATTCGGGAGCTCTAAAGAGAACAAAATGTTTTTTTTCTTATATTTCCATGCTAATAAAAATTAGCAAATGCTTGAGTCTTAATGAATCTTTAGAAACTTTGAGTTACTAAAATTATTTCCAAAGACTTCCCTTTTGAAATTAAACATTTTTAAAAACAAGTTATGTCTGCTATTAAAACACACTGTTAAGAATGTTATATGCACGTTGCCAAGATTCTTAAGAGAAATGACTTGGACAGTACTTGTGAAAGGCCTACCTCTACAAGATAGCATAAGTACAAAGGTGATCATAAAAAAATTACTGGAATTACATCACATCAACAGAATTAATCAACATTACATTTTAGGGACTTTGAAGTTTGAGAGAAGTATCTCTATTTAGACTTGAGGAATATATCAGATTGTCATTTGAATAAGGAGATTAATGTCTGAAGTACTCTTGGAATGTGTGCAGATGTTGGATTTCTAAAGAGCAATACAGTTGTGTGCTATCATTCTGTCTTTGGCAAATGTAATAAGCTTTTTATATGTTGACAATGCAAAATAGGATAACTATAACATTCTGGATATTAAAAACCTTCCTTTTTCAGCTATATTTAACATAGGCATGTAGCATCATCATATGGTTTGGCCCATTTTACATTAATGATCATCACATCACTTTTATGCTATGTTATTTAAGTGAATATACAGAATTTTAAGTAATGGCATTTAAGATGACCTTAACTGTCATCTTTTTCTGTGGAAGAGGAAATACAGCATTTTTTGTTTATACATAATTTGCTATCCAACAGGGAAAAAATTTCTAGTAAATCTAAACGACAAGAATTTTGGCTAAGTGTATATACTGTCTGAAAATCAGTCACAAAGTAACTGTAAATGATTAAACACATTTTGCTCCTTGTTTTTTAATGAGAAATCTTGAAGTACATAATTACACGTGAAAACTTTGTAAACTGAAGTACAAGCTATTTACTGTAACAAGGTAATGAATCCATCGTGTCTGCTGTTTATGAAAACCACTAGATCTACTTTACAGTGTGGGACTTTGAAAATTACTTGGTTTACAATTCCTATCATTAGTTGAAGTGCTCCAAATATTTTGGCTTATACTTGGAGCCAGATGCAGTTTTATTACTTAAGAATCTAGGATGAACATAGGGGGAGGGTCAGCTCTCCTCTCTAGGCCGTCTCCAGGAAACTAGTAATCACTTCATGATCGTGGATGGCTGTTACACATGACAGCACTCTAGCACCTTTGCTCACTGGCTGCTGCTCCAGGAATGATGGCTTCGTTGCTTTGGGTAGAGATTTAGGTAGTCAGGGACAAAGTGTAGCTTTCAGTGTTAGAAACTTCCAACCTTTAAACCATTTGTTACAATTCCAGTTACAGTACTATAGCTCCGACTGTAGAATGAGTAGGTGTTATATTCATTGTTGGGCTACCTTATTAGAATAAGCTGCAATTAATCCTCTCACAGATCTATATGTAAAGTAGATAAATAGCAGTTAATTGGACTTGGGAGATTAACTCCAAATACTGTATTTATTTCTTAAACTAATTTTTCAGTGATTCTAACAAATGCCATCTAATTATTCATGATCTTGTTTCTTTAGAAATCTTGCCACAGCAGTAACTTGGTAAATACATGCAATTACATATGCACAATTCATGACTTTATAGGTTTAAATTTAGCAATTGATTAAATTAGATTTCATAGTATGTGGATAGAAAGTGTTATTTTTCCAGTAGTAATTCAGTCAATTGCATTTGCTCCAATTTATTGCTAGAATTCAGATGGGATGGTTTTGGTTCTGGGATATTCTTAATTTTTAGAATCCTAGAACTTAATGAGTCTTCCCTTCAATAAATATACTTCTCACATACCTCTAATCCAATGCTTCCTTGAAACAGTAATATGCTAACCATGTTGTTTACTAAGGATTATTATGAAGGCATGGAGGTAATGGGGGTAGATTTCAAACTTGTTTTCTGGTGCAAGGGAAAAGTAAATAGGCACTAAGCCTGATTAGGCAGAAAACATGGATTTCCACAGCAGCCCCAGAACAGTATTGCTTCTTTCTGCCTTGTCATACATGCCACTGTGCCCTTTAAATCTTGACCTGGAAACCTCAGGTTTGTGGACTGCACAGGCAGATGGCATTTTGTGCTTCTGAGGCTCCCCTCTGCTAGGCACGTTAGCTTAGTGCTTCAGATGTCAGCCTGAGTCCTTGCTACCTCCTTTCCTGCGCCCAGGGAAGAGTGTCTGCTGGAGCTGGAGCTCCAGTCCTGTTCAGGTGATGGTCTTCACCTCCATCTCTTCCACATTAGGTGAAACAGGTCTGAGCCTACAAGTCTGCATTTAAAGGGACATGTTGGGTTCTCGGAAATGTATGCAGTTGTTTGAAGGGAAATGTGGATCTCTCAGGCCAGGGTTTACTGGCTGATGTTTGCTGAACTGGTTAATACCTAGAGCCCATTTTAAAAGAAAACAAGTTTGAGAACTGGCTAGGGTTGATGGGTTTTTAACCTAATTCCAAAGCATGAATGAGTGTTCTAGGTAGGAAAGAAACCCTTTTCTTATGATTTGTAGCTACCTACTGTGCCTGACTTGGTGCCTGTGTGAGGATTACACCCTTAGTCTGCTCTTGCAATTATTCAAATGACGTTTAAAAATTTTGTTTTGTAACAATAAAAATTGTCATCTTCCTTTTGATGTGCTTGTCTGTTTATAATCACCTGTGCTGTACTCTGTGCTCCTTTCTCTAAAATATTTTGTATCAAGTATTGGAAATATCTAACAGACTTATTGAATGGACCTAATAGGCTGTTATTTCAGAATTTAAGAGAATTTAAGAACATGTTTGTTTGGTGTGTGAGGCTTTTTTTTTTTTTTTTTTTTGGTCGAAGCCCCGTTTATTAGGATCAGGGTTGCTGCTTATATATAGCCCCTGGATGAGGGCTTGGGCAGGGGAACCGTGTGAGGCTTTTTATGGTTAAATGACAACCTTACAGAAGAAAAACAGCCTTCCAGGAAGGGTTATAATAAAAAACATCACATTGTGTGGTCTTATGTGAACAATAGAATTGGAGAAACATGGATGATTATTCTGTCCAAGCTATGAATCCTAAAAATTCAGGATTTTTAATAAAGATCAAGAGACCAAATGGCATGTGCACTTCTTTATTGTGCAAGGGTGAATAATTTAGCAAAACTAGTATACACAGTAGATACCTGAATGACAGTGATATATTTGTACACATCTTCAGCGAGGGAAGGCTGAGACAGGAGCTTAAAACTATGGTGATCTCCCAGTTTCTGCTTCCTAATTGGTGAGATTACAGGTGTGTTCCACCACACTCTAGTTCATTTCCTTTGATGAGAGGCAGTGAGTTCCTGATTCAGCGTCCTTACATGAAAGGTCAGAACTTTGGTCTTGTGTTAAACTGGTCTTAGCTTAAATGGAATTTGCAAGCAGGAATGTGGTAGAGCAGGGGTCAGAGAGACTGCTCACCAATTAGGAACAAAGAACTTTTTTTTTTAATTTATTTTTTTTAAATATTTATTTCTTATGTATACAATTCTTTCTGCATATATGCCTGCAGGCCAGAAGAGGGCACCAGACTTCAGATGGCTGTGAGCCACCATGTGGTTGCTGGGAATTGAACTCAGGACCTTTGGAAGAACAGTCAGTGCTTTTAACCTCTGAGCCATCTCTCCAGCCCACAAAGAACTCTTGATGGTAGGATTTATAAAGAAAAACAAGCACATAACCAGGTGTAGACTGATGAGTTTTTTTTTTTTTTT